GATAGGAAATAAGTTGGGTGAGTTTGGCCGAGTAATTTTGTCAAACTGCTTTCGTTTACAATTTTTGCCCTTTTACCTTTGATTAAAGGGTGAAATTTCCTGCTCTCTCAATTTCTTATCTTCATTTCAAGTCGAGACGAACTCCAAGATAAAACTCCACAAAAGCTTATCAGATCACCCACCAGACACCGCCGCCGTCTTAGCCACCATCATCGCTGTTCCAAAATGGCGGCTGCAATTACCGGTGTAGGGGTGCCTTGCCCCTCGAAATTGAGTCACACTTCGGTCGGTCGCAGACATAAGCGTTGTGGTTCAGTCATCCGAATGGCTTTGACTGAGGAGAAGAAGAAAACCTTCACTCTCCAGAAATCGGAGGAGGCTTTCAACGCAGCTAAGGTAAGGGGTTATTGTTTTCCAATATTCCAACTTTATGCAGTAATAAATTGAATTCAAAGCTTTGATCTTTAAGAAGCTTTTGATCTGGTACATTCTTTTTTCCCCTCTTTTTTGTCATTTTAAATTGTTTGTGGCTATTCATTTTAAAACTGAGGATGTATCTTTTGGAGAACTGTGAGAGTGAATGGGATGATCATGGATACTTGAACTTCAATTAGACCTTGCAGAGTGCGATGTGAAAAGAAGAATGTCTTTTCTTTCTTGTAACGGTTGAGATGGAGGAGGGTACATATTATATGGGTTATATATTGAGGAACTAGTTTGTGGATTTGTTTCTGTTCCATTACCCTAAAGGAGTAGCGGGTGAGAATGTTCAGTTAACCGACTGTAAACTTTGCTCTGTGAAAGAAAAATTACTGCAAAAGTCCCCTCTGCTGTAGGTGTTTTTCGTGGTGAGCATTAGCCATTGGTTTAGCATTTTGCTGTTTCTCCTGAAGGGTGTTGTTGAAATATGGATACAATTAGTTTCGAGTAGGTTGCCATATCACTCTAGTAATTTAGTTAAATGTGGTATATATTTTGTATATTTGATAAATGGATAATATTATATTATTGTCGACAGGAATTAATGCCTGGAGGTGTAAACTCCCCCGTACGTGCTTTTAAATCAGTCGGTGGTCAGCCTATTGTTATGGATTCCGTGAAGGGCTCTCGCATGTGGGATATCGATGGGAACGAGTACATTGACTATGTTGGATCATGGGGCCCAGCCATTATTGGTCATGCAGATGACGAGGTCAGACAGTATTTACCTTGCTTCTTTCTTATGTTGGCATCGAAACTTTAGTGCTCAAATTCTTTCTTTCACCAATGGAACACCAGGTGAATGGGTTCTGTTCTCTCACTCCGGTTTCATGATTCCAAGTACTGGGAGAATTCTTTCTTTCGTGGGACTTTGAAGTTTAATATGATTCAAGTTTTATCATTTTGTTCAAAATAAATCAAAGATATATATATATATATATATATATATATATATCAGTTACGAAGTTCATATCAAAAGACTGAAGAATGCATCATCATAGAATACATGTTACACAATTCTACGCCTATGTCCCCAATTTTGTGTTCAAATTTTGTATCCTCTTGTCTATGAAATGTTTGGGAGAAGTCTCATCCTTAACCAACGAAACCAAACCACACCTTTTTGCTATTCCAAAGACAATTTCATGTTTTTTTTTTTAAAAAAAAAACGCCATCGTCAAAATCCACAGGTAGTCGCCGCTCTATGCGAGACAATGAAGAAAGGAACGAGCTTCGGCGCCCCTTGCCTCCTCGAGAACGCCCTCGCGGAGGCCGTCATCTCCGCCGTCCCGAGCATCGAGATGGTCCGTTTCGTAAACTCGGGCACAGAAGCATGCATGGGCGTCCTCCGCCTTGCGCGCGCCTTCACCCGCCGCGAGAAAATCATCAAATTCGAAGGTTGCTACCACGGCCACGCGGACCCCTTCTTAGTGAAGGCCGGCAGCGGAGTCGCCACCCTCGGCCTCCCCGACTCCCCCGGCGTCCCCAAGGCCGCCACTTACGAGACCCTCACTTCCCCTTACAACGACGTCAAATCCGTTGAAACCCTCTTCCGAGCAAACGAGGGCGAAATCGCGGCCGTAATCCTCGAGCCCGTCGTCGGGAACGCGGGCTTCATTCCTCCGCGGCCCGACTTCCTCGACTCCCTCGAGAGGATTAGTAGGGAAAACGGGGCGCTTTTGATATTCGACGAGGTGATGACGGGATTTCGAATCTCGTACGGTGGGGCGCAAGAGTACTTTGGGATTTCCCCCGATTTGACAACGCTCGGGAAGATCATTGGCGGGGGTTTGCCAGTGGGGGCTTACGGAGGGAGGAGAGAGATTATGGAGATGGTGGCGCCAGCTGGACCGGTTTACCAGGCGGGGACGCTGAGTGGGAACCCGCTGGCGATGACAGCTGGGATACACACGCTGAAGAGGCTGAGGGAGGAAGGGACGTACGAGTATTTGAGTGAGATTACGGGAGAGCTTGTGGAGGGGATTTTGGGGGTGGGGAGGAAGGCGGGGCACGCGGTTTGTGGAAGGTATATAAATGGGATGTTTGGGTTTTTCTTTCAGGATGGGCCGGTTTACGACTTTGAGGATGCTAAGAGGAGTGATACGCATAAGTTTGGGAGGTTTCATAGGGCGATGCTGGAGGAAGGGGTGTACTTTGCGCCTTCGCAGTTTGAGGCCGGTTTTACGAGCTTGGCGCATACCAGGGAGGATATTCAGAAGACTATAGCGGCGGCGGAGAAGGTTTTCAAGACGCTTTGATTTGAGATTTTTTTTTTTTTTTGTTTGGTTGAATTGATTGTGTAACGGAGGGCCTACTTTTTTGTAGCTTTGAATTATTTTCCAGGATGTGTTTGTGTTGCCGAGAGAGGCTGAGGTTAAAAGTCATTTTTCCTCGTGGATTGCTTGTAACTCAGTAGGCCAAAAATAATTGTGATCTATTTGAAATTTCATTTTTGTCATTATTTTCTTGTTGGAGTCTAGTCAACCTTAGTTTTTCCCTCCTCAATGTGTCCTGTGAGAGCTGAAAATTTAATTTGGTTGATGGTGTGAAAATGTTTATTAAAAATTAGAGACGATAAATTGGATTGTCAATTGTTATTTAAAAGTAATCGTGGAGCAGGGATATGAGGGTGGGATGAAATTTGGCCCTATTACTTACTAGGATTGATTAATGACTAATTCTATATGTTGCTATGATGGGAAGCTCATTTGGAGAAAGGATTTGAAGGTGCAACTTTCTATGATCATGATGTGAAGCTCATGTTGAGAAATTAATGTACGGTTGCAAACTGTCCACATACGGGAACCTAGGAAAGAACTTATGGTGGTAGAGTAGCCATGGCATCTATTTTATTTCTACTGTTAAAAGAACTTATGGGGGTAGAGTAGCAGAAATATTCAAGGTTCTTTTTTGCAACATAGTGAATTTCCAAGTATTTGTTCAGCAAGTTCTTGGTAGATTTTTTTTTCTTTTTTTTCTTTTACTAAAATTAGCCAGATGGAGGTGCATCAACCACCCCGCCCAATTCATCAAGTTTAGAACAAAGACGACAAAACAAAAGCAAATCTAAAAAAGAAACCATTTGACTAGTGGACCTTTAGAAAACTTAAAAATGGACATTGAAGGCTTTGGATACACGCCATGATCCCGCAACATATCTCAACAGCTTCTTGTTTAGGCTGAACAAGAAGCTGAATAAGAGTTTGTTGGGATGACCTCTAGAAAACTTAAAAAGTTGTTGCATGCTGGCGTGGCACAGGCTGGTCCCATGCAGCTTTTGATCAAGAGTTTTAACACCTCCTCTAAATTCAAGCTCGGGAACACTAATTACTCTAAGCTTTTGCTTTAACCGAGTGAATAACAGTTGACTTAAAGGCTTTGTGAAGATATCAGATACTTGATCAATGCTCGGAACATGTGATAGTTCTATTGTTCCAGCTACAAACTTTTCCCTAACAAAGTGTGTGTCTAATTCGATGTGTTTTGTTCTAGCATGTAGAATAGGGATTGAAGCTACAACAATTGTGCTTTGATTATCAACCTAAATTGTAGATGACTTGTGATATGGAATCTTCAGCTCAGATAGAAGTCCAACAACTTGTGAGTCATTTTTGGCTTCAGTCGAGTCCCTTCTGAAGAAACTTCACATTCCTCTTTTACACCTTTAGTCATTTGGGTTGATAATCGAGGAGCAATGTCCCTAGCCTCAAATCATGTTCATCTCTCAAGGACCAAACATATTAAAATTGACATGCATTTGCCCAGAGAGGAAGTCACCAAAAAGATCATATCTATCCAACATGTACCTTCCCTTTATTAGGTTGCAAATATTCTGACTAAACCTTTGAGTGGCCAATTTTTGAATCAACTGCATCATTCCTTGAATCTTCATTTAAGTCAACCTTCGAATTGAGGGGGTGATAAAGATACCAGAATGAAGGCACCGGCCCACATGATGACACTGCATGTATGATGTCATGAATGCCACGTATGCATAAACAACCTCCGTACAGAAAGATAGAGGATGCAGCTGGCTAGAGTGTACATGTGTCCTGAAGCCTGTTTTTTAATTTTGAAAACTTAATCCTTCCTCATCCTTAGATGTTTTCTTGATCACTACTCTATAGCATCTAAGTGTCCATATTCTAGTTAGTTCCATTAGAGATATATATGTCTATGACTCAAATAGATTGTAATCAAGAAATACATTACAACTTTTATCCTTGAGTATCAGAAATCCATTTTATCTTGCTTTCTGTTTGAGCTCTTTGTTGAAAAGCTTCCATGAAGGATCTCAAAATCTTTCATTATGTTTCGAGGATCATCTCTTCAATTCCTATTCCAAGACCAGTCAAACTCGCCAAGCAATTTCCAACATGCGTATTAACTTGAATCCCACTAAGCTACGCACTTACATTTTAAAACCATTTTTCTTTTACGACCATAACACATGGCAACGCAATCACAACAGTACAAGCAGAGAAAAATCATCCTTCAAGTCATCATAAATATCATAATGTACTATAACCATACAGATCCAAAAACATGAAGTAGATCGGTTATAAATATCACCCAAAGTTGCCTCTGAACTTTGCTCCTTCAACCGAAAGGGTGCCCACTGCAAAGTCCCATTCATTTCCACAGCCTGCTTGAAGGCATTCCAATATGCTATACTGTATCCACGAAATCACAATATATCAGCCAATGGCACAAAACAGATCTTAGAATGCAAAAAATTGAAAGAAGTAATCCCTACAATTGCGGTGATTGTTTATGGATTCAACCAATTTTTATTTGGTTTGTTTTTTAACTACAGTTAATTTTAAAAAAAGATGATATGGTTAGCTGTTGTTGGATATATTAAAATACTATTTAAATAAAATAATTAAAGTTGATTTTATGTAAAGTAAGAAAAAAATAATTGGAAATGATGGTTAGTTAAAATTATGTGAGTGGGATAAATAGTGAATTAAAGTTGTTGTGATGTATAATAATGATTGGTTAATATTATTTAATTATATTAATAATTTTGCAGATAGTGGAATTGGATTACAGTGGAGTTAAATTTGAGTTTTAATTAATTTTTTTTTACTGTAGAAATTATATCCAATCGCCCCCAAAGCATTTCAAAAGGTATTGAAAGCAGAACACAAATATCATAATCTAATAGCTAACAGAGCATAGAATGGTAGAATAGAAACATTACATAAAATCGATGGGTCTGTCAAGTTACTTGTAACGTATATAAGGGTAAACACTACAAATTACGATAAGTAAAGAATTAAGTGACTCGATAATTAAGAGAACAATATTAATTTTTTATACAATTTTTTACACTGGATGATGATGATGATGATGATGATGAGGATAATATATATTGACCTAAATTTGAAAAGGCAAGGGCATGTAGAATTTTCAGTATCAATGTGGAATGAATAGAATAGACCCTTTAACACCCACCCTCTGGATCTTGCGGAATGGAAATTCCTGCAATTTCACCACAAGAACCAAAATGATCTTTGAATGAGCTCGTGATCTGCAAGTTAGAAGTGTTATTAGATTCCAATGGATAACTTAAAGGGGCTGCACAACAGAAAAATATGTGAATTTAGTTAGTGCGCAATAAGTACCTGATCTTCACCGCCATTTCTATCAAATCCACGAACAAATACTCAGACCCGGAGCACTTGTTCCCTTCAGGAAAGATTGTGAATCTCTGCCACCAGAGAAATCAAGGTACCATCTGTTATGTGGAACAAATATCATAAAAACTAGAGCAAGCAACATAAAAATTAAAAGGTGCAGTCATATCCACTCGTTGGCACCAAATGTCATAGAGAAGACATAACACTAGGGTGTTTCTAATTGAGGGACCTTTATAAGATGTAGGTCCTATAAGATCGAATAAGATTTAAAAAAAAAAGGAATAAGAGAATGAAAGGAGAAGTTAGAAATTACAAATAAACAATACAACAAAATACATTGATTGCAGATGATGATGATGTAGCTGAACGGTAAACAATAAAAAAAAAAGGTCCAGCGACGCAAATCACAAATAAATGCTCCTCTGAGCTGCAGCTATCATCTGACTCAGTTTCCTTACTTGACTCGTCCTTCTTGGCAACAGCTTCCGAGTTGTTCTTAGCCGGAAATCCATCAGAGTTTTCTTCATCACTGCTCGCGTCATCCTTCTTTTTGGTAGCAGAGGCCTTTTTTTTATTATTATTATTATTTTTTTTTTTTTTAACAGGGTAGAATCCTCTTAGGAAGGCTCATCTCCAGGAGAGTTGGAATCCTCACTGCTAGATTCATCTTTCTTCTTTGTACACTTCAGATTTCTTTTTGACTCACGGCAGAAGGAGCTTTCTTTTCTGCAGTAATATCCACACCCAAACTATCATTCTCAGATAAAGAATCAGAATCATCACTTCATTCATCACCCTTGGTAGAAGTAGGAGATAGACCTTATTTAGTCAGAGGTGCAGGAGCTTTCTCCTCATGGTGGTACAGTAACAGAAAATATTCAAGGTTCCACTTTGCAGCATAGAGAATTTCCAATCATTTCTAGTCCCTTGTTCGACGAGTTCTTCGTTGAACTCTTTAATTAAAAGCAGCCAGAGTATTCAGTGTGTGCATCAACCAGCCCTCTAAAGTACAACCAACTCATCAAGTGAAAACAAAAAGAACAAAACAAAAGCAAAAACAAAAGAGTACAAAATTTGACTAGAAAAACTAAAAACTAAACAGCATCAAGTTAAAATTGACTTTTACCGAATAATTTCGTTGATTCATCGCATCGCATCAGGTAATATTATTTTCCCTCAGTATTTGTGAAATAACAAATGGAACATCACAGAAAAAAGCCGTATCAGCTGATTGCGGGTAAACTCTGGGTACTTGTCGTGTCAATCGATGGTGAGCGACGGGCCATGGCTCAAGGGAAGTAGGCTCCAATAAGAACCTTTATTATCTACGCAGCCACTGTGCCATTTGATTTTGTAAGTGCCCCTAGGAAAAGAGGAAACATCGAGCAAGCAAGTAGAGAAACCTTGGCCACTTTCGTTGAGCTCGAAACATACATATTCGTGTACTGTCAAATGGTTACTGAGACATCCACAATGAAGACCATGAGTAAACACTGAGCCTGCAACATATCTAGACAGCTTCTCATTCAAGTCCATCAAATCATCGATTGCCTGATCCTGCCTGCACGGCTGGGCCTGCGCGTTTGTTTTCTGAGAAGGTGCTGTAAAACTAAGAATGCAGTAGGCTTTGTTCAGTGGGTCCGGTGGGCCAACCGGCTTGTTTTTCAGTTGAAAACTCAGATTGAGAGAAAGAGGGACTCCAGACAAAATAGATGATCCATCAATCGTTTGACCATCTTCATTCAACATGAGGATCTCTGAGTAAACAGCAGGCCTGGAAAT